CGAACTTAGGATCTTGTGCTTGCCAGGCAGGCAATTACACAGCTGAGCTATTTCACCGGGCAGGCACTTATGCCACTGGGCTATCTCACCAGCACAAAATAAATTTTAAAAAGGGCTAAGGATGGGCTGGGGAGATGGCTCAGTAGAATAAGCGCTTCCCTGGCAAGCTCAGGGGCCTGAGCTCAATCCCCGGTTCCACAAAAAAACAAACAAACAAAAAGGGCTAAGGATATGGGTCTGTCCTCCCTAGGTTCAACCTCCAGTACAGTAAGTAAATAAATAATTTTTTTCAACCTGAGCTGAGGATATAGCTCACTGGTAGTTACTTGTGCACAAAGCCCTGGATTCAATCCCTAGCACTGAGAAAAAAAGAAATCCATTTTTGGTGGCCTGCAACTCCGGAGTTAATCTCTTCTCAAGAGGAGCTCAATTACTAAATTGCACTTTTGGTCCAGTCATTTCTTCTGTCCAATCAGCTCTACTAATCTAGAAATCTATCAGACACCTCCTCCTGTGTATCTACAAGCACCTCAAACTCAATTAAAATCATCCTTCTCCCAAGACTCCTTCAGCTTTCCCACTAAGATCAAAGTCACCCAGACCCTCCCTCCTCAAATCCCCCTGACAAAACATCTCCCCATTTCTCATCTGCACCCCCCCATAGAACAAGACACTATGCTGTCACTTAGGCAGTATGTGGTGGTCTGTCTGGTCTGCTTACCTGCCTCTCCTCCTGTCATCCCTGCAGGCACACCCCTTGCTTCCAGATCTCAGGGGATGACAAACCCCTTCTCATCCAGGCAGGTCATGCCCCCGATGGAAGCAGAGGGCGGCCAGCACCCAAGGTGAACCAGCCTCATCTCGACAAGGTCACCTGTCCAGAGTGCAGGACCTATATGGCCAGCTCTTCCAACATTCCAAGGAAAGTCAGAAATCCGAACACTCATATGTGATCTGCTGATTATTTATCTGGTTTTGAGGATGGAATCCAGGGCTTTCACACTGAGTTACATCTTCAGCTCCCCCCCCCCAACCGGAGATTGAACCCAAACCATTACGCTTGCCAGGGAAGCGCTTATTCCAGAGCCATCTCCCCGGCCCCTCCCTGGCCCTTCTTTTTTTTTTTTTTTTTCCCAGGCTGGTCTTGAACTCACAAGGATCCTCCTGCCTCAGCCTTTTTTGTGCTGGGATTATAGTCGTGCACCACCATCCACCATACCTGGGTGTATTTTTATTTTGTGACAGGATCTTCCTAAATCACTAAGTCACCTAGGCTGGCCTCAGAGTTGATTTTCCTGCTCCAGCCTCCCAAAGTCCTGGGATTACAAGTGTGGGCCACTATACCTGGCCCATGTACTGATTTTAAGTACGCACAATTAAATAAAATATACAGAGAGAACAAAAGCCGAAGAAAACACGTCTGCCATCTGAAGCTGGCCCCTGGGTTACAAGCTCTAGATAATAACAGTCAAAGGTCTACTAAAATTCCACATACAGGATTTTATTTCAATATTCTGAGCACTGCCAGCACCACCCCCTCCCCCAAATCTTTCTCATCCTTCTACTTTTGCTTCTTTCTTTCTTTCTTTCTTTCTTTCTTTCTTTCTTTCTTTCTTCTTTCTTCTACCGTTGTTGAATTTTCTTTGGATTCCTGGTGTCAATCCAGCCACAATTAATACCCCCTTATGCGGGACCCTCAACAATTGATCCATGTCTCTGCAACAGCGCTTACAGCATACTGCATTATGGTTGTTTGTCCTCAAAAGCTGAGACTGTATCCAGTCGTTCTTACGCCCTCGGAATCCAGTGAGTCCGGAGGGTCCTCTGGCAACTTCTGCTTATCAGTTTTTGGATCGATCCAACGAGAGGCTTAGGCGAAAGGTTGGGGAGCTCGGCCGCGCAGTGTGGTCAATGTCGCCCACTGACCCTTAGAGGGCAGACTGACTCCGCAGTGCCAAGGACCAGGGTGGCAGCCGTCAGGAGTTTGGAAAGCTCTCTCGTTTGCACCTCTAGGGGTCATTTTCAGGGCCATCTCCCACCGCCACCACACACCCCACGCACACCTTCTGGGAGCAGCCCTGAGGTTACACCTGCACGCGCGCACAGACCCGCGGCTACCCACACGCTGACTCCACGCTCCCACAATCGTGCGGGGCCTAAAGGGTTAACCCCACCTCCCACCTGGTCCCTTTGCTGCGCGAATCCTCCCAGTCTGGAGGAAGCGGGAGGGAGATCATCCGCCGGCTGGGTGACTGGGACTCTGGTTCGTTTGCGCTCGGCTCTAACGCCTTTCCCGGAGCCCCGACACCCTCCCGCACCACCCCGGACACGCGCGTCCACGCCCTCGCACCTCTCTCAGCTGAGCTCCCAAACCAGCGCCTCTCGCTGTCCCCAGAGCGAGCCAGGTAGGCGAGGAGGGCCCGGCGGAGCGTCACCGCGCGGCTTCCTGCAGCGTTAGCGAGGGCGCCCGCCGAGTGGAGCTGCCCCAGAGCGGAACCGTCGGGCCACCGGGCTGCGCGGAGGGACCACGCGAGGGCGCGTGGCTGGGCGGCGGGGAAGGAGTTAAAGACCCGGCGGCACTGGGAGGGGAAGCGGCCGGGAGGGAGGTTTCGCAGCTTGGCTCTGGGCCCCGCCGGGCCCCCCCTCGGGCAGCCGGGGCTGGAGCCGCCGCCGCCCCTGCGCGCGCCCACGAACACGCGCGCGCTTCGCCCCCGCGCTCGGCGGTCCCAGGGCGCCCTCGGCTCGCTCGCCCTGGGGCACCCGCCGCTCCCCATCCCACCCCAGCTGCCGGTGCGCCCTCCACCGCCCGCCAGCCTTCCGCGCTCCGCCCGACGCACTCCGCTCCTGCGCAGGGTCGCGCCGCCGAGCCGGACACCCGCGACCATGGAGGGCGCACGGGCCCGCTGAGCCATGCCCGGCCCCCCGCGGCCCGCCGGCGCCCGAGCGCGCCAGGCCCTGCTGCTGCTCCTGCCGTCTCTGCTGCTGCTCCGGGGCGGCCAGGCGGGCAACCTGACGGTCGCCGTGGTGTTACCGCTGGCCAACACCTCGTACCCGTGGTCGTGGGCGCGCGTGGGGCCCGCCGTGGCGCTGGCCCTCGCCCGCGTGGAGGCGCGGCGCGACCTGCTGCCGGGCTGGACGGTGCGCACGGTGCTGGGCAGCAGCGAGAACGCGCAGGGCGCCTGCTCCGACACCGCCGCGCCGCTGGCCGCAGTGGACCTCAAGTGGGAGCACGACCCAGCGCTGTTCCTGGGCCCGGGCTGCGTGTACGCGGCCGCCCCGGTGGGCCGCTTCACCGCGCACTGGCGGGTGCCGCTGCTGACCGCCGGCGCCCCCGCGCTGGGCTTCGGCGCCAAGGACGAGTACGCGCTGACCACGCGCGCGGGGCCCAGCCACGCCAAGCTCGGCGACTTCGTGGCGGCGCTGCACCGACGGCTGGGCTGGGAGCGCCGGGCGCTCATGGCCTACGCCTACCGGCCCGGCGACGACCAGCCCTGCTTCTTCGTGGTGGAGGGCCTGTACATGCGCGTCCGCGACCGCCTCAACATCACGGTGGACCACGTGGAGTTCGCCGAGGGCGACCACAGTCACTACACCAGGCTGCTGCGGACCATGCAGCGCACAGCTCGAGGTGAGAGGCGGCGCCGGCGGCCACCCGCGCCCTGCCTGCTTTCCTCGGGCGGGTCTGCGCCATTCCTGTCTCGGCCTCCCGGGTCTCCTAGGCCCTTCCTACCCGAGTTTCCATCTCTCCCCTTTCTCCACTACTGACATCCTGCTTCCCTGCTTCCCGACAGTCCAGGGTAAACGGGACAGAAAACGCCTGCGCGCTTCTGGCACCCAGTTTGTCTTGAGCTGCGTTCTCATCCCGATTTTCTCACCCCTCCTGCCGTCTGCGCTCGCAGCCTTTCCTCCAAAACCCTTCTCCCCTTCCCTCTCCAGCTGCCCTCCCCTCCTCCGTTCCCCTCCTTGGCAGGTCCCCCCTGCCCCACATTCCGCTCCCCTCCTCCCCTGTGCTTCTCCCTAGGCCCCAAACTCCCCCCACCCCCATCTTTCTCTGGCTGCTTGAGCCCCGAGCTGCCGCTTAACCACCGGCAGCTCCGACCTTCTGCCCCGCTGCCCCTGCGTCCCTGCCCCTAGTCCCTGCCCTCCTCTCTGACTCTCCCTCTCCTCCAGTCGTCTACATCTGCAGCTCCCCGGATGCCTTCAGGACCCTGATGCTTCTGGCCCTGGACGCGGGCCTCAGTGGGGAGGACTATGTTTTCTTCCACCTCGATGTCTTTGGACACAGCCTGCGAGGGGCACAGACCCCTGATCCCCGTCCCTGGGAGAGAGGAGATGGGCAGGACATCCGTGCCCTCCGGGCCTTTCAGGCGAGTGCCTAGCTTGGGGTCCTGGGTGTGGGGCTCAGTTGGCAGCACATTGCTTCTGTGCACTATGGCCCAAGTATCCGGAAGGATTCCGAAAACAAGATTATTTTGTTTTATTGTACTGGAGATTTACCCCAGAGCTGTCAGAGCTGTCATCTGCCATCCCCTCAACACCACCCACCTTTTTAAAGAAAAGGTTTAATTTGGCTCACATCTGTGTTTGCTTATTTATTTATTTATTTATTTGGCTTTTTAAAATTTATTTACTTATTTGCTACAGAGTCCAGCTACACATTTCAGACTCCTAGTGATCCTCCTGCCTCAGCCTCCCCAGCGCTGGGATTAGAGGCATGCGTTACCAAGGATCAAACTTGGGTACTTGCGCAGGCGCTTAGACCGCTAAGCTATCTCCCCAGCCCTGACTTTTTTTTTTTTTT